TCCTCCTGCCTCAGCCTCCCGGGTGCTGGAATTACAGGCATGCACCACCACACTCGGCTTAATAAGCATTCTCAAGACTGTTGACCACTTAAATTTCTTTGGTGCTTGTGAACTACCCTAACCATTACTCAGAGATTTTATATCTCTAATGCAGTATTTTTTTTCCTTTTATGCTAAACACAAAGATCCTGACTTTGTGTGAATACATTCCTTTGGATGTGTGAAACTGAAAATGCGAAGTATGTGTGTTCCCATTTCTGTAGAAATTCTGGGGAAATGTAAGGTCTTTCATTTTTAATGTGGTTTTAAGAAACAACTATAAGCCCATTTGGGGCAGTTTGATTTAAATGATCAAGTTAGTACTTTAGAAGAACTAACAGTTCATAAGATTCTATCTCTTGTAGAATACTATAATATAACTGTTTATCAAATACTTTACAAATAACCTTACCTCCTTCTGCACGTAAGCAGTAATAATATTTTAGAGTGGAAAGACATGGAATATCAGTATAATATCGATATAAAAATATATTTAAGCCCTTCAAAAAATTACTTAGGCTTTGTAGATAACACATCTTTTTTTGTAATGACTCAACTCTGCACATATAACAGCCAGAGATGATACATAAACAAGTAAGTTGGACAGTTTTCCAGTCAAACTTTATTTATAAAAACAGTGAGCCTGCTAGATGTGGTGGCACATCTGTAATCCCAGGAGGGAGGCTGAGGCAGGCGGATCACTGCGAGTTCGAGGCCAACCTGAGCCACAAAGTGAGATCAAGGCCAGCCTCAGCTGCGTGGTGAAACTCTGCCTCAAAAAGAAAAAAACAACAGCAGCAGCAAAAAAAACCCAGTGAGCCAGAACTGGCCTGTGGGCCATGGTTTGGTGCCCCCCGCATTAGAGGTTGGAGATCATCAAGGGTAGTTGCTCACAGGTGAGGACTGGGATTCCTCAAAGCTAGGACAGGAAGGGAAACCCGGGTGCATTACATGCCTGTGATGCACTGGCCCAGTGATAGTCACTCGTCTCTGATACATGTCGACTTGTTTAATCTTGGCACTGTGATGTGTTACTTCCTGCATTTCATAGAACAGAAAACTGAAACTCAAAAAAAGTAAAATAATAATTTAAAGTCACACAACTAATGAGTGGCAGAGCTGGAGTTTTTGTTGTTTTGTTTTGCTTCATTTCTTGAGACAGGGTAGCTCAGGCTGGCCTTGAACTCACTTCGTAGCCCAGGCTGGTCTCAAACTTGACCTGATCCTCCTGCCTCAGCCTCCTGAGTGCTGAGATTACAGGTGAGCACCCTACAGCTGGCAGAGCTGGAGCTCTGAAGCAGGCCTGTCCAACTCCACAGTTTCTACTTCTACTCTGAAAGCCTTTGTCACTGAGCATGAGTGCTGTCCCTTCCTGCCCAGGCTTTCTTGAGAGGAGGTTCAGGGCCTTCTAAGCCCCAGGAGTCCATGTCACGGGATGGGTTCCCTGTGTTGTCCCATAAGGGGAACTAGAAAACACCCTTTATTTCATGCATGGAAAGTCCCGCTCTAAGCATTTGGTCCTGAGAACAGTAAACAGTAGCAAAAGTGAGGGGTGAGGGTTATGCAGATTCGAAAACTAGACTAAGGGAAGCCTGGAAAACCTGAGGCGCTTCCTGGATCCCAAAGGAACCCTTTTGTTCCTTTCTGTGTCTCTTATTTATGTAGCCACAGGCTTACTGTAGGACTGGGGAGCGCTCTAGCAGGACATTCCTCCCTTCCCTCTTGAGTTCCTGGCCCCTAAAGCCCACATCGTTTCCCCTCCTGCAGCACAGTGAGTACCTGCCTGTGGGGCCCCTTCTTCCCGCAGCCAGGCGCGCAGACCCGGGACACTGCTAGAATCCCAGCAGCTGGAGTGAGTGGGCGACCTGAGAGCTTTGGGAATACCCGAGACAGCACAGCCATCAGGCCCGGAGCCAGCAAGGCTCCACGGTTTCCCTAAGCTGAAGTAGCAAGAACTCAGTGGAAGCCAGGCTCGAGTCTGACCCAAGGCCTGCCCTCGGCACACCTTCCTACAGCAGCCTGCCTGCACCGGGTGGGAGCCTGGCCCCTCCTAGTCCTCATCTGAGGCTGCAGGCTCTGTCTACAGAGCAGAACTTGAGTCCCCACTTCACCCCCACTGCGGAGCATTGGTCTGGACCTGGACCCCCGCCAAAGCCTCCCATCCATCACCTGCTTTCACACTGCCTCTCCCAGGCTTTCTACCTCTCTCAGGCTTTTCTACCAGCAGCAAAGTGATCTTAGCACAGATAGCAGATCACCTCAGTCTCTCAAAGCTTGCTAGAAACTTGCCATTTACTGAAATAAAATCCATGGCCCACACCATGGCCCTGAGCCCTATGCCTTCGGACTGCAGGTTGTCACTCAATAGCAATGTCAATCTAGTAAATCACAAATGACCTCTTTTTTTTTTTTTTTACTAAAATTGACGGATGATGCCAGGCATGTGGGTGCACTCCCAGCACTTGGGAGGCTGAGGCAGGAGGATCACTGCAAGTTCAAGGCCAGCCTAGGTTACAAAGTGAGTTTCAAGGCCAGCCTGAACTGCATAGTGAAACCCTGTCTCAAAAAAGACAAAAATGAAATAAAATTAAAAAATAAAATAAAATAAAAATAAATAACCGGGCATGGTGGCACACACCTGTAATCCGAACACTTGGGAGGCTGAGGCAAGAGGATTGTTGTGAGTTTGAGACCAGCCTAGGATACAAAGTGAGCTCAAGGCCAGCCTGAACTGCATAGTGAGACCCTGTTTCAAAAGACAAAAAAATAAAATAAAATAAAATAAAGTAAGCCAGGTATGGTGGCACACACCTGTAATCCCAGCACTCGGGAGGCTGAGGCAGGAGGATCGCCATGAGTTCAAGGCCAACCTGTGCTACATAGTAAGTTAAAGGCCAGCTTTGACTATATAGCAAGACCCTGTCTCAAAAAACAAAAAAAAATTTTTCCCATTTTCCTCTTAAGTATTAAGTGAAGTCTGTTGTCCTAGTGCCCATGTACCCAGGAGGGGGCCTGGGGTCAGGGTACAGAGAAGCCCATCCTCACTACTCTCATCTCCTGACTCAGGAACCTGGCGGACCGAGGCTGTGTTCAGCGAGGAAGCCCTGATTGAAATCCCCAGTGACATCCCCCTTCAGAGTGCTGCCACCCTGGGTGTCAACCCCTGCACAGCCTACAGGATGTTGGTGGACTTCGAGCAGCTGCAGCCAGGTGGGAACCCGCAGCTAGGGGAGCAGGCCAGGGCTCCCCACTGGGCTGGGACCCCAATCCTGAGCCTGAGGCCTGGGGACCTTGCCACCGAGGGGTCTGGGAGGATGAGAGCCCCTGGCCCGGATGAGTGTGGTTTTGCTTTCACTTAGAACAGCGTGAGCTGTGCACCTACAAAACACGAGGACCACACTCTTAGAAACTGCTAAAAGATCACATTCCCGGGAGCCGGGGACGGAATGCTGTCACTCAGCAAAAAATATGTTGAGCTGTGCTAAGCTCCGGGGATACAAAGCCGGACAAGACAGACACAGTCCCTCTGTTTCCAGCAAAGTGCTGAACTTAGTGTTAATAATTCTACTCAGCATTTATATTGCACTTTCTGCTCATACAAGTGCCTCTGCAGGCTTATCCCTGCAGAGTGCACCACGCCTTCAACAAAGCAGTACAGCGAGCTTAGTGTCATGGGTTAAGAGCTCAAGCCCAATGCAGAAATCCTTGGTCTGAACCTGAGTTCACTTTGCACTAACTGTGTGACTTCACCTACCGCATCCCACGTTTTCATCAGTTAGATGGAGCAAAGGGGAGAGCTGCCGGAACGCTGCAGCGTGACCCTTTGCGCAGTGCCCAGACTGCAGCGCTGTGACCGTCAGCTGCTGTCGTTAGTTTCCTTCTATCATTCAAGGAGCAGAGGTCCGCAGAGGGGAGCTATCTCACGAAGTCACTTAGCAAGTACATGACAAAGCAAGGTGTTTTCTTAGGATTCTCCTGAAAGCAGAGCCTGAGACCAGAAGTGGGGGCCGATGAGTCGTTTGGGCTGAGGTCCCAGGAAGCAGGAGTCGGGAGTGAAGAGACCAAGATCAGGACAGAGGCAAAGCCCAGGAAGCCCCGTTACTGCCCTGGGCCACCTGGGCTTGCTTGGTCCTGCTGGGGATCCTCTAAGGACAGGAGCCTGGGCTAGCCTTCCTCGGACTCCCACTCCCCGTTGGCTTTTTTTGTTGGGGCTTTTCTGGAATGCCGACGAGCGATTCCAGGACTTCCTGCATTCCAGGCAAGCACTGCACTGCTGAGCTACATGCCAGCCCCCGCGTCCTCCATCGCCTGTCACCCCCGCGCCCTGTACATATCCACAGCCTGGAAGGGGTTAGAGAAATTGCCTAAGCTACTTCTCTCATCCCAGAGACGAAAAGGCAGCCAATAGCCGTTGGAATATGATAAAATTAGGCGGCCAGCCGCTGCCCAAAGCCTAACTGAAATCTAGTGTCAGCTTCCCACAAAGAAAGTGTGGGTTCTTACGGCTCTGGCAAAGGCGTCTGGGAACCCTTCAGGGAGAAAGTAAGCAGGTATGATCAGGAACCTCTGCTGGACTCCCAGTACGGCAGACACCCACTTTAAGTGTCCACCGTGTACCTCCCCACGTTCTGCTTCAAGATGTATGTGGCCCAAGCTGGATCAGTGTTGAAGCAACACGATCTTGTTTTGTTTTTTGGTACCGGGAATCGAGCTCATGACTTCACTCTTGCCGGGCGGGCGCTGTGCCGCTGAGCTCTATCCCCGGCACACCAACATGATCCTGACCCATAGTAAGAATTACATTTCCACACTGTTACCCAGTACATTCACAGGTATTAGCATATATCTGAAATTTTGTGGCACAGTGTTTATCCTCACTATGTGGATACACTCTGATTTTTTAAAATTCTCCTCAGTTCTTTGTTTGGGGTTGGTTTTTTGGTTGGCTTGTTTTTGTTTCTTGAGAGAGGGTCTCACTGTGTAGTACAGGCAGGCTTCCAACTTGCTGTGTAGCGCAGGCTGAACTTGCCCGCGTGAAGTCCTTGCCTTAGTTTCCCAAGTGCTGGGGTTACAGGCTTGTGCCACCATACTTGGCTTATTTGCCTCATTTCTAACTAAAACAAAGCAATGCTCCTGGGAACCCACTGGCTGGATCGGTAATGCACCGGTGGGTAGTGACAATCCACATGCTGCCCCGGCTGAGGAGAACGGCGTCCTTCTCCCGGGCCCCTTCTCCCACCCCATGTGCACAGAGCCCGCTTCCTCTCGCCCACCACACAGCACTTCAGAGTTAACAAAGCACCTCCTCGGACACAGCGCGTTTGACTCCACGTGGTATGCTGACAGGCGCTCCTATGACTCCTGTTTTCTGGGGAGGAAACTAAAGTTTAGAGGACACAACTTGCTCCGTCTCAGTTAGTTACGATCATTGGTAAAGCTGCTACTTTCACCCGGATCCAGCTTGTTCCAGAGCCCACTGCCTGCCCCACTGGCCAGTCCCAGAGCTAAGCCTGGACTTCCCCAAACCATCTGCAAGCCTGTTTCGGAGGCTGCCGGTGTCTCCCGTATGGCTCCGACCCCACCTGGGGGCAGTGCACCTTTATTAAACACTACAGAAAGGAATAAGGCATGGCCCTCTCCTTCTCCCCAAAAAGCTGCACGTGATTGGTAGATGTGGACTATATAGAACAGTATAGGACAAGTCATGGCGTGTGCTTTGACACAGATGCCCACGGGGCCCTGGGAGTGTGCAGAGGGCAGAACCCAGGAGGGCTGCGTGCCGGAAGCCACTCTTGAGCTATACTTCCAAGGGCATGCAGGACGTCAAAAAGAGAGGAGAGAAGGGAGACAGCGTGCAGACCAAGGGGATTACCTCAGCAGAAGCTGGAGGACATGAGAACTGGGAGGATGTAAAATCAATTACACGGCAGGGTCTACATTTTGTCCTCTGTGGACAGAGCGGCCCAGCCAGGAGGCACTGTGGGTCTCGTGGAAGTTTGGGAGGTGTTAGAGGGACCGTGAGTGATAGTCCAAGGTCTGAGAAGGCTCTGCCACCAGGTCTTGGGTCCCTTTTGAGCCTCAGGCCTCCAGCTCTTACCCTATCCTAGGATCCCAGGCAGGGAGCCCTTCCCCTATTACAGGTCTGCGGGACTTGACTCGGGTTTCTTCCTGGCTCCACAGGGGATTCTGTCATCCAGAACGCATCCAACAGTGGAGTAGGGCAAGCAGTCATCCAGATCGCCGCAGCGCTGGGCCTGAGGACCATCAATGTGGTCCGAGACAGGTGCGTGGGGAGGGGGAGGCTTGATCCCAGACGCCGACCGGAGCCTTTCCGCCTCGCATCCTGCGGATGGCTCTATGTCCACCAGAGGGCGCCCTTGCATAAGCACAGGTCCCTCTTTATGGCTCGCTAGCAGTGGGCGGCTGAAGCGGATGAGTTAGCCTGGAGAAGTGAAGTCCAAGGGGCTTTAAGCTGTAGGATGAGTGGATTTCTGAAATGAGGAGCTGGCAGGAAGGGGATGGAGGCTGCCCTTGCTGAACGCCCCAACTTGTGATAACCCCATGTTTTCAAAACCACGATGTGAGCTGTACTCTTTTTTTCTGAGAACTGTCTAGCCCAAGACCCCTGTGCCCTGGTGTTTGTGTGTTAAATATAGACGAGAAGGAGATGGGGGTCTGGCTCCTTTACCTTTGGCACCAGGAATCGAGCTCACGACCTTGCGCTTGCCAAGCAGGCGCTCGTGCCACAGAGCTATGCCCCCAGCTGTCTCCTTTATCATTGAAACTGAAGTTTCAGAGATGGGAAGCGGCTTGCCCGGGAGCCCCAGCAAGTCAGCAACAAGACTACTTCTCTTTCCACCGAATTGTCCAGCTCCATTAAGCCTTTCTGCCCAAGAGTGTGGCCGTGTCTGTCATGAGGGTCCATCTTAGGAGAATTGACTCTCACTTCACTTCCCTGCCCGCTCAGTTGTGCTAACAGAAAATGATTCTGTTTGCCTTGGCCAAAGCGGCCCAGACCATTCCTGGGGTAGAGTGCGTTCACCTAACACCCTGGGAAACCCTGAAAAGAGGTGGGGAAGGAAGTGTTCTTTGCCTTTTTTTTTTTTTTGTCTTTTTGAGATAGGGTCTCGCTATGCAGTTCAGGCTGGCCTTGAGCTCACTTTGTAGCCCAGGCTGGCCTCGAACTTGCAACGATCCTCCTGCCTCAGCCTCCCGAGTGCTGGGATTACAGGCGTGCGTCACCACACCTGGCTTTTGTCATTTCTCAGTAAAAGAAATCAGGAAGTAAAATGGCTTCTCTGTGGGCAGAGAAAGCTCCCAGCCTGGCTCAGCCCAGTGAGGATGAGGCCCACGGGATGAGGGCAGGAACTACTGGAGCAGGGTTCAATTATGTGACTGGCTCCTACACAGACCTGGTCCAGCCTCCTAAAAGTGAAACGTGGGTTCTCACAGCTGCGGCGGATGGGTCCTGGGAGCTGTGGGGAGAGAGAGCCAGCAGGTGTGACCCGGGACCTTGGATTACGTTTGGTTTCCAGACCTGACATCCAGAAGCTGGCGAACAGACTGAAGGATCTGGGCGCCAAGCATGTCATCACGGAGGAGGAACTGAGAAAGCCTGAAACGAAAAACCTCTTCAAGGTACCCAGGAAGAGGGCACTGCCCTCCACGCCATGCTCATCTCCCCCAAGAAAGCTGACTTGAATTAGAAGAGCCAGGGACAGGCCCCATTTCTCCTCTCTGCAAGCCTCCCATCACCTCTTTTGGTGTGGTCTGCTTTGCTTTGCTTTGCTTTGCTTTGCTTTGCTTTGCTTTGCTTTGCTTTGCTTTGCTTTGCTTTGCTTTGCTTTGCTTTTTGAGACAGGGTCTTGCTGTGTAGCCCGGACTGGCCTGGAACTCATGGTGATCTCCTTCCTCAGCTTCCGAAGTGCTGGGATTACAGGCCTGCACCACCATGCCCGTGTCCTTCACATCTTCTTGGAAGGATGGCTAAAACCCATTCCCCTCCACCAGGGCACAGACCGCATTAAATATTCCATTGCCGTGAGAGAGGTAGGAGAAACAAAGTTCAGCAAACCCCGTGTGATGCGCAGTTTGAAACACCTGCGGCAGGCCACCAGCACACACAGTGCGTGTCAGATTTAGAGCTGGAAGGGACTCTGAGGACACGGAGGCTCAGAAAGGAAAGAGGCAACATCTCAAGCCTCTCACATCTTCCCTGATAATCCCCAGGAAAGCCCTGCAAAGCAGTTGGTACCAGTTCCATAGACAAGGAAACACAGACTCAGAAAAGGTAAAGGACTTGGCCAGGACCACATAGTGCTGAGTGGTGTAGTCAGGGCCGGCCCTGGGTTTCTCTGAACTCAAAGCCCCGGCCCTGCCAGAACATCTGCCCTCAGCACAGCCTGTAAGAAAGGAGAGCCTGGCCCGAGCCTTGTCGCTGAACCATCAGCAAAGAGCAAACCCACACACTCACTCAGAAACGTTCCCCTCCACAGAGCATTTCTGAAGCAGTAGATCGGCACATTGCGTGTAACCTGAGTCTTAGCTTCTGACATCCCTCAAACCGGCTCACACACGGTCCTTGGCTGTTCTTCCCTGGAGGAGGAGAACTTTGGACCAAGTTCTAAAGTGGACCACAGGATGAAGTTGCTAAAGTCCTTTCCTAGGCAGAGAGAAAAGCAAAGCTGGGCGTGGTGGCACACACCTGTAATCACAGCACTCAGGAGGCTGAGGCAGGAGGATCGTTGTGAGTTTAAGACCAGCCTGGGCTACAAAGTAAGCTCAAGGCCAGCCTGAACTGCATATCAAGATCCTGTCTCAAAAAGACCAAAAAAGAGAGAGAGCGAAAAGCAGGTCTAGAGGCCTAAAACACCCCCTCCTCTTCACTCCCCCCTTGTGACGCAGCACTCGGGCAGGGAAGGGCCGTAGGTAGCGAGCGTCAAGCCTCGTGTGCTCCGGTTGCCTCTTCATTGCAGTTCCTTCTTTTCCAGGACATGCCCCAGCCACGGCTTGCGCTCAACTGTGTCGGTGGGAAAAGCTCCACAGAGCTGCTTCGGCACTTAGCGTGAGTCCCTGGGCCCTGCGGGGCAGGCGCGGGAGCTCTCCGGGCCTCCAGCTGGGAGGACTGTCTGGCAGGCAAGTCCTCAAGGCCAGTGTGAGCCGAGGCCCAGTTAGCAGGACAGGAGTAGGAAACAAGGCGCGAGTCCTCCCGCTCCGTACTGCTTCTTTCAGCCTCTTCCTCTTGACAACCCGCTTCATTCCTCCCCGGGGACAGCTGAGCCCTGCACAGGGGATTGGTCAAGGTCCCCTAACAGGGAGCCTCAATAAGTCACTTAGTCCACACTTACTGGCTTTTAAATGCTTCCTTGGCTTTGAAAACTGCATGCTAGAGCGGGAGGGTCCAGTGTTCACTCTGCGGGGGATGAGGCTCGGTGGAGTGCTTGTCTAGCACGTACAGGGCCCTGAGTGCAATCCCCAGTACCACAACAGCAATAGAAAGAGACGTTACAAAACTGCATTCTAGGGCCAGGCATATAGCTCAGCGGCATAAGCGCTTGCCTGGCAAGCGTGAGGTCATGAGTTTGATTCCCAGTACCAAAAAAAAAACCCCTGCGTTCTAATTTAGAAGTGACATTACACCTATTGCACAAAGTTTTGAAAGCATGTAAAAATGCAAAGAAAAAGGAAACACAGAAGTCCCTGGTCTCCCCCCCGACCCAAAGGGGAGAAGTGTTGTGTTCTTTCAAGCACAAGGCCCCGCCACAGTGATCCAGGTAAGACGTTATGACACAGCTGGGAGGAGAATCACTGACTGCTCACCACACGCAGGGCACTTCAGAGCTGGACCTCCTCCTCCCGTGGCCCCTAGGTGAGGGCTAGTGTTGCAGTTTCCTTTTTTGTTGTGTTGTTTGCCTTTTGAAGCTCGGGACCAAACCCAAGGCCTTGTGCATGCTGAGCACTTGATTTACCTCTGAGCCACACCCGCCAGGCCGCCAGTCTCCACTTTATACTTAAAGAAAACACGCCCCTTGGTGCCCAAGGCGTCCTCACTAGGAGAGCCCACTTTGAACCCAGCTTTGCCTGACTCCAGAGCACATCGCCTCCACCCTACACCCAGCAGCCTCTGCGGGGGACCAAGCCCGTGTCGCTCATCTCGTGCAGTAGTCACAGCGTAGGCCTTGGGTTCAGGCTGGCTGGGTTCACGCCTCTACCCTGCCGCTGCTAGCTGTGGACCTGTGAAAAGTTAGGCAGTCTGTGGAAGAGCAAGCCAGCCCTCCGTCTCTTTATCTATAAAATGGGAATGACAGAAACCCTTTCTTTTTTTTTCTTTTTTTTGAGACAGGGTCTCACTATGCAGTTCAGGCTGGCCTTGAGCTCACTTTGCTGCCCAGGCTGATCTCGACCTCCAGCCTCAGCCTCCCGAGTGCTGGGATTACAGGCGTGCCCCACCCACCCCACCCTACCCCACCCCCGGCATAGAAACCCTTTCTTGCTCCAAAGGTTAGTCTGAGGGACACATGGGAGAGGGACCTTAGCTTTCTTATCTGCAAAACTAGGTATCCAAGTGCTCCCCTGGAGACTGCGGATTCACTGAAAAAGTAACACGCTTAGAGCCCTGCCTGCTGCATAGCAGATACCCACTAAATGTCAGCTGTTGTGACTAGAACCAGCGCAGTGGGGAGAGGGAGAGTGGCGGGGGGTATTCCCCTACAGACTGCTTTCCAGCAAGCACCAGCAGAGGGGAATTTAAGACCAAATTAGGAGCTGGGGATGTAGCTCAGTGGTAGAGCACATGCCTGCCCCCCACCAAACAGTGTAGAGCACATCACACACACACACACACACCAAACAGTGATAGAGCACATCACACACACACACCAAACAGTGATAGAGCACATGCCACACACACACACACACCAAACAACCCAGCAGCCTCAGGGCCAGAGTTACCTGCCTCCCACTGCAGCATCTCCTTTAAAAACCACATTAGCAGGGGCTGGGGATTTAGCTCAGCGGCAAAAGCGCCTGCCTGGCAAGCGCAAGGTCGTGAGTTCGGTTCCCGGTACCGGAGAAAAACCAAAAAAAAAAAAAAAAAAAAAAAAAACCACATTAGCCTTGCTTCTGTTTGCCAAGGGGGTGTGCAGGCATCAGACCACCGCCACTAACCACACAGTCCTACCTCCTGCCAGGAGAGGGCTCTTGTCACTGACCACAACGCGGTGCGCAGTGCTTCTTATCTGTACGGTTATTTCATCTCACTGATCTCTAGTGTGAGTATTTACAGATGAAGGGACAAGGTCAGGACGACTTTTATTGCATTGCCCAAGGTCGCACTCCTTTAACAAGAGTGGAGCAGGGTTGGACTCCAGCTTTGAGCTCTTTTCTAAGGAGTTTGCTGATATTTAGCACTCAGCCAAAACCTGACCGAGAGGGCTGGACTAGTGGATTCCCAGCCCTGGCTAAGCGTCCTGGTCATCCAGGTTGTGTGTGTGTGTGTGTGTGTGTGTGTGTGTGTGTGTGTGTGTGTGTATTCATTTTTTGTTTTGTGTGTGGTACTGGGGGTTGAAACCAGAGCTCCAGGGCCGGGGATATAGCTCAGTGGCACAAGCCCCCGCCTGGCAAGCGCAAGGTCCTGAGTTTGATTCCTAGTACCCAAAAAAAAAAAAAATGAAACCAGAGCCCCAGCCCTTATTTTTTGTTTTGAGACAGGAACTCACTAAGTCTCCTAGCTGACCTTGATTTTGTAGTCCTCCCTCAGCCTCCCAAGTCCCTGGGATTGCAGACATACACCACTGCAAGCCGCACATGTTGTTTTTAGTGTAAACATTTTTTTTTTTTTTTGGCACTAGGAATTGAACTCAGACCCCGGTGCTTGCCAAACGGGTGCTGCACTGCCGAGCTGCATGCCTGGCTATTATAAATTCTTAACTTTTTTTTTTTTTGAGGCAGGGTCACACAGTATGTTTTAGGCTGAACTTGAACTCACTTTGTAGCCCAGATTGATCTCAAACTTGCGATGATCCTCCTGCCTCAGCCTCCCAAGTGCTGGGATTATAAGCATGCGCCACCACACCCAGCTGCTTCATGATTCCTCAAGTCAGGGGTCCGGCCAAAGAATCTGTGTATCTGAGCGCTTTCCAGGGAGTCTCAGAGCAGTGTTTAAGAGGTCACAGTCAAAATAGAAATGCCATGGTGAGCTCCAAGTAGGGCCCCATCACTGCCTGCCCCCACTCTTTTTTTCTCTTGATCCTTTAGGCCTGGAGGGACCATGGTGACCTATGGCGGGATGGCCAAGCAGCCTGTCACAGCCTCTGTGGTAAGCTGGAGCATTGGAGAGCCCTGCAGACCAGGGCCAGCTGCTCCTCCCCTGGCAGCACTGTTGTGTAGACTCAGCCCTGTCCCTGGGAGGAATCCACCCTGAAGTGGTACCTGCAGCTCTTTCCCTCAGGACCCCAGTGTGTCCCTCCTGTGTCCACAGAGCCTGCTCATTTTTAAGGACCTCAGACTTCGGGGCTTTTGGTTGTCCCAGTGGAAGAAGAAACACGGTCCAGGTGAGCGGATGACGGCCCCAATGCCAGGGGTCACAGAAGAGGGCAGTGCCCAGCTTGGCTGCAGAAGCGTCCAGCTGCCAGAACCCTGCAGAGGCACTTGGGCCCCTAACCTTGCGACAGGATAAAGGAAAATAGCTTCTAGTCACAGCTGCAGTCAACAAATCATCATTGGACTGAACTTGGCTAGTCCTTAGGGCAGAGTATCAAATACGGCAGACACAGCCCTCAGCCAAGGGCAGACTGCCCAGGGAAGAGAGCACTCTGGCCAAGCCTGCTCCTACCACCGTCAGATCTAGGCTCTGCCTGGGCTCGCTGTGAGACCTGGGGCAAGTTACCCAACCCCTACCTCCGTGTAAGCATTCCAATAGGTAAGCACTTGCGCGCCCTGTTCAAACAGAGAGTGAACTTGTGTTCAGAGTGATCAGGTAGCTTGCCCAAAGTCACCCCACCTCCTAGGGGGTGGTGCAGGCGGCATGTGAGCAGATGGCCTCTCTGTCTGCAGAACCTGAGCCAGTGCACAGTTGCTCCTCCTGGAGGTCTGGCTTCCCAGAGCGTGTGCCCAAGCTGAGAAGGACACATGACATGGAGCTAGCGTGTCCTAGCGGTGGCACGCACAGGGTTTCTCAGGGAGAAAAGCGGCACATGCAGAAAACCCCAACACAGGGCGTGAGTGTGGTTCCAGCCCCGGGAGTGGTACATCTGAGCTGGGGCTGGGAAGCTGGACAGCTGAGCTCTGGCATGTTGGAGGAGGCCTTGTAGATGACCCTGTGGTGTTCAGACTGTCCTGAAGCCAGCCAGGGAGCCACAGCGTTTTCAAGCTGCGGGGGGATTAGATTTGAAAGTAGAGTGAATTTATGTCTGTGAAAACACGCTTCCAGCCAGAGCCCTCGCTTCGCATCTTCTCTTCCACGTTGGGCTGTCAGCGAGAGGCTGGCCCGGGGAGGATGACGGCAGCCTTGGGTCCAGCCTTCTGAGGATCCTGGGCTCTCTGGGAGAGCTCCTGTCTCCCAGTGAAGCTCCCCTGTCCTACATCCCCTGGCATGCCAGGCCCCTCATGCCTGGGTCTCCTGTGGCTTCCTGCCTCGAACAGGGTAATCCTTCCCCTCCTGCCACGAACTGCCAGGCTACGTTCTGTGGTCTGAGCCGTCCCAGCTGCCAGTGCGGACGGGTGGTCCCTGCGTGTCCAGCAGCTGCTCAGGCCACTTCCCATGCTCTTCCGGCCCCACCTGGCTCCCGCCATCCCGGACCCAGGTGGAGACCAGGCTGCCACCACCGCCACCCCTCCTTGGCAAAGCGAGGGCTCTGGAGACTCTACTAGAGTTCAGTGCCTGCTCCTGCCCACAGGGCAACCCATGTGCCGTCTCACCAAGCCCTAGCTGTTGCCTCCTGTCTGACTTCCTCCCACTTCCCACAGGTGAGTTCAAGAGTCTGATCCTCACTCTGTGCGCCCTCATCCGCCAAGGCCAGCTCACGGCCCCCGCCTGCACTGAGGTCCCCCTGCAGGACTACCAGCGGGCCTTGGGCGCCTCCATGGAGCCCTTCGCGTCTTCAAAGCAGATTCTCACCATGTGACCATCCCAGAGAGCCAGAGCAAAGCAGGAGGAGACGTGGACCACCAGGGCCAGCCCTCCCCAGACTGCTCTCTGTTCACTGCTCACCCACCAGCAGGGTGCAAGGCCGGCCCTGTAAATAAAGTCTGAACTTCCCGAAAAAGTACTTAAGCCACCCCTGAGGAGAAGGGGCCTCTGTGCGCCTGCCATCTTGAAGCACTAAGAAGCTCCCTGCTTCCCCTTCGCCTCGACCCTAGGATCATTTCCTGGTCACCCTGAAAGCAGAGCGAGGTCAGGGGTGGTGGCGCATGCCCGTAATCCCAGCACTCGGGAGGCTGAGGCAGGAGGATCGTTGTGAGTTTGAGACCAGCCTGGGTTACAAAGTGAGCTCAAGGCCAGCCTGAACTGCACAGCGAGACTCTGTCTCAAAAAGACCAAAAAAAAAAAGAAAGCAAAGCGAGGTTGGGCACTGGCAGGTGCAAAACCAGTTAGCATCTCTGCCCTCAAGGAACTCACACCTGCAGAGGAGAAACTTGTAGGAAGAAAGGCTCGGCCAGGCATGGTGGCGCACACCTATAATCCCAGCACTCGGAAGGCTGAGGCAGGAGGATCACCTATAGTCTGAGGCCAGCCTGGGCTACAAAGTGAGTTCAAGGTCAAAACTGCATCATGAAACCCTGTCTCAGAAAAGAGAGAGAGAGAGAGAGAGAGGATAGGAAGGAAGTAAGGAAGGAAGAGAGAAAAAAAAGAAAAAAAGAAAGAAAAGAGAAAAAAAAGGGGAAAAGGGGGAGGCTGTGAGAGCACACCTAAGGCATAGGGTCAGGAGACTTCCTGCAGGAGACGGTAGCACCAAGTGGACTGAAAAATGAGTAGGTTTCATTCAGGCAGGGAGCAAGATAAGACTCCATGTGACTTTTGCCTCATGCTTCACTGGCCCAAAGCAAAGCACAAAGGGCTGGGGATTTAGCTCAGTGGCACAGCACCTGCCTGGCAAGCGTGAGGTTGTGAGTTCGATTCCCAGTACCAGGGGGGAAAAAAAAAAGCCCAAAGCAAAGCACAGATTTTGGAATAGCTGCCTTGCCACCTGGCCCTCTGTTCCCTGAACTTAGAAGCTTTGTTCAGGGCGCGTTCACTGGATACCTGTTGTGTGCCCAAAGCTACCACAGGGCTGCCAGGGAAAGATGCAGTGCTGCCCTCAGGTTGCTTAGCCCTAACCCACAAGACAGACTGTTACAGTATAAGGACAAGGCTCCTGGTTGGGGTCGGGGCCAGGAGGACCAGTTCTGCCTAAGGGTGTCAAGGAAGGATGCCTGAGAAGGACAAATGACATGGAGCTGTCCTAGCGGTGGCACACACAGCGTTTCTCAGGGAGAAACCTGAAGGACATATCCATCTAAATCGGTTGGGTGTGTGTGTGTGTGTTTGAGATATGGTCTCACTGTTTAGTCCAGGCTGGCCTCAGACTTAAAAACTTCCTCCTGCCTCAGCCTCCTGAGTGCTGGGATTACAGGCAACCTGAGACATCCTGGCACTTGGGGAATTGCAAACAGTCAGGTATAGCTACTGCCGAAGGGGAAGGAGAACTAAGGTATTAACAGTGGGAAAGGATCCGATCCAGAAGAGCCTTAAAGTCGGGACTTACCCTGAAGCCTGGAGCGGGCTGGGGTGGGGAGAGCACAGGGGGACTTTAAGCAGCAGCGACAATGGAAAGGCTAGCTGGGAGGGTTTAATTTTCTACAAATGTGCAGGCAGACTCCCTCTTGCCTTTGGGGTCACCTGTGTGTCCTCTGGAGAGAGGACTCCAGCCTGGGGCTGCGAGAGTTCTGCAGGTGCAACAGAAACCTACCACCTCATACGCCCAGGCTGGAGATCAGCCCTGACTCCTTGTTGTCCTCCAGGTAATCCTTTAGGTTCCTGAGATAGGTGATCCCTACAGAGGCTCCGCGCAGGCAAGAGAAAAAGCCTCAGAGGGTGGGGAGGCTGCCCAGAGGCCATAAGAGTGAAAGCTGAAGTCCTTCAGGGGGAAGTCCACAAGTGCGGGGCTTAGGGAGCACGAGGGCCGTGGCCAGGGTGAGGGAGACCCCTGGGAACAACTGGAGGAGGAAGCACGGGCGGGGAAAGTTCATAGCACCTGTCTGGAGACGTGGAGGAACTTGCGGCATGAGAACGGTGACGGGGATTATGCGTTGTACCTTTAGGGGTCCGCAGGTGTGACATTTGGGCTGGGCCCAAAGGCCGAGTATGGTTTACCCCTTATGAGACAAACGTTACAGGTTCAGAGACCGGGAAAAGCAAGTTACACAAGCAGGGAATTTATGTCAGAACCCACTAGTTTTCCCCAAATACCCATTTTCTTCATTAGAATTTAAATGTACCCCTTTGATGGTAGGGGAGAGTGAACCTCCCCTCCTCCTTCGGGGTTAGCAAGGCCTACACTATGCGATGTAAGCAGAAGTGTCAGCTGAGAGTTTCCTAGGAACCTTTAAAATGGAGCTGCCGGGTGTCTTGGACCTTTTTCTGACCCCTCTCACCTTCCTAGCTGGAAGACACATGTGATTCCTAGAATGTGTGTGGTCACCTTTGACCAAGTTCAGAATGGGTCAGCCATAAGGTCAAAGGCGCCTGGGGACGTGTCAGCAACCGTGTCTGCTTCAGCCTCTGTTGGGCGTTCAGCCGAGCCTGCTCCTAAGTGGTAGCATTCAGTGACTTAACTTACACTGAAATCAAGCCAAGCAATGTGAAGCTGAAACGGGATTGTGGCAGGCTGTGATTCCTGGCTGAGGAATTTAGACCTTGTCCTAAACACAGGAAGGGACAAAAGAGTTCCGAGCTAGAACTGCACTTTGGGAAAATCTGTCTAGTAGTAGGTTGGGGCGCAATTTGGAAGAGGGAGGCCCTAGGGAAAGATACAGTTATCAACTTGCAGGCCTCTTAATTTCAGATAAGTAAACCTGCCTCACTCCCACAGCTCGGCAGCCAAGTTTTGAAGACCGACCAATGGTTGCCAATGTTTAAGAGGCTCACAGGGGGAAGGAAACAGAACACTGTCAGAAGGGAACCTGACTAAAAACGGATCATTTCTTCCACTACAAGTGCTGTAGGTTATTTCCCATTTCCAGACCAAATCGTCTCTGTGGAGTTAGAGCAGCTCTTCTGGCCCCACTGAGTAAAAACCTCTTCGGTAAATGGCTAAAGAAGAGAATCCTTGACGCCAGAGCTGGAAGACAAACACGCGCTCCCTCCTAGGCAGAGCCTGAGCCCCGCTGGAGCTCTGAGGCTGCCTGATGCCGTCTCCCAGGCCTCTCCTGGGAGCATCCACCCTGCAGCCACCGGGGCAACGGCCACAGTGCGGATGAGTGACTGCGTCTTGGGAGATGAGGTGATGAAGCCTGCTTTGCTCAGGGGAACACTGAAGCCCAGAAGAACGGTCTTGCAGGAGCCTGTGTGTTGCAGGCAGAGCTGTCCCAGTGCCCAGAAGCAGTCGGCGGCACCCGTGGGCTATTGGCAGGCTCTTTGCCCTGGTCAAGGCTCTGGGCCTGGCCAGAGTGGCTGCCAGTGTTGCAGGAGGTAGGCACAGCATCTCCCTGCATCTGCAGACAGGAAAATCTGGGGGAGACAGCGGGGCTGGCCTGCGGGTAGGCGGAAAGGAGACACTGGCGCCCGCTGAGAGGGAAGAGGGAAGCCTCTCTTATACCCATAGCCCACTACACTTCCACACACATCTTTCTTTGATTTTTACAACTTCACCATTTCATTGAGGTTTTAAGCTCATCGCATTACAGAGAAGGAAGCCCCAGAGAGAGGTGAGATGAGCTGCTCTAGGTCACACAGCAGGCAGCAGAGCTGGCGCCAGAAGCCAAGCAAGTCCCCTCCACCCTATCTGGTCCCCACACCAGATGGGCAGAATTCTTTTAACCTCAGAGCTGGGCTTGGAGCTCCCTCTCTTCCCAGGACTTCTTGGTTTTGTTCTTCATTTTCCCACCTCTGGTAGTGAAGATCAAACCCAGGTCATCACACATGCTAGGCATGGACTTTACCACTGAGGTACATTCCCAGTCCTTATTTATGTAGTTAATGATCTATTATTTTCTTTTGATATGGAATCTTGCTAAATTGCCCAGGCTGGCCTCCCGCGTGTGATCCTCCTGTCTCAGCCTCCCAAGCAGCTGAGATTAAGGTTGTGTGCCACTATACCCAGCTTTTGCTTTTGCTCTTTTCATCTCACCTATTATTGACCCGACAACAAGAAGAGAGTTCAAATTTCCCTAACTCTGTGTCTCACAGGGCAGCATGAAAAGTGAAGAGGAGGCCATTGAAGTAGCTGAGGTGAAATATCATTTATTCATTCCATAACTATTTTGAGCTGAGCATGGTAACACAGGCCTATAATCCCAGCACTCGGGAGGCTGAGACAGGAGGATTACCACAAGTTCGATGCCACCTGAATTACATAGCAAGGCCCTGTCTAAAAGAATGAAAAACCAGAAATACCATAATACAGAGGGAACTGGAGAGAAGACAGGTGAGAAAGGACTGAGGCCTGAAAAAAGAACTGATCATATTCCAGGCAGAGGTAACAGCAGACAGAGAAGCCCTGATGTAGCTGGGGGTGTGGTACTGTAGACACTGGTAATCCCAGCACTCTGGTGAAGATGAGGCAGAACAGAAGTCTGAGCCCAGCCTGGGCAACTTAGTGACTGAGCAGAACCCTGTCTCAAAACAAAAGATAAAGAAAGGTCTGGGGATGTAGTTTAGGGCAAAGGTTCTGCATTCAATCTCCAGGACCAACGAAATAAAACCAAAAGAAGCCCGGATGTGCGAACAGTACGACGAGGCCTGAAGTAGGTCAGGAAGTGGGAATAAAAAGAAGGGGATGGACGCACGAGTGTTTAGAAGGAAGGACCGAAAGGACACACTAGTTGTGTCAGGTGAACTTTGGCACCTCTCTGGAGAGAGATGCGGCTTCTGGAGTTAGGACACTCTGGAGAAAGCAGGTTGTGGAGGCGGGCATTGCTCTCTGTGGGACTCTTGTTCTGAGCTCTATAGTAAGTTGACCGAGAGTATGTGACCATCCCAACGTGGTGGCACATGCTCTGTAATGCAGCACTCAGGAGCCCAAGGCAGGAAGATCACCACAAGCCCAAACCCAGCTCCACAGCGAGTGCTACATAGTGA